AGTTGAAAAATATACATCAAATATAAGGAAAATTAAAAGGAATTAAAAAAATAATACTTACATATTTTAGAAATCTGTATTAAATTTGTATTAAATTAGAATATAATATATAATATATTTACATTTTTGAATTATTTATTAATTTTAATTAAAATCAAATGCGTTAATATAGTGAAATCTTTGAGTAAACAAATATTAAATTAACTTGCTGAGCTCAAACAAAAGCAATATTTAATTAGTAGCAAGCATACGAAGGGTGGGCACAAGCCACAAATTCAAATTAAATTATATATATTGTTTGAATAGACCAAGTTTACATAGAATTTATATGTTTGATAAGAGCTAAGCACAAAAGATTAGGGCAAACAGTTAAGGCTAACAAATATTCATTAAAGTCTGCAAGTTATACCTTAAATATATATGCATACTTGCCTCAAATATATATAAATATATATATGCAGTGGAAAAATAATACACTCAGCTAATTCCCAGGTGCTTATGGCAATCAATATTTACTCTAGATTTAAGCGTGCATAAATTTATCATATATACATATCTGGGCTTTACATGCGCTTAGCTCATATAGAGATATGCTGTCATTTCGATCCAATACACACACACATATATATATATATATATATATATGAAAATGATAAATAAATAACTGAGGGCAAACGTAAACAAATAACGGTAAACATTTTGCCATTCAGCGCAAATCGCGTGTAATTAATCATTCAGTTGCGGTCCTTAACAGAAAAAAAAAAAATGATATCACAAACCAATCTGAGTGCGACCATTGGCATCCTTTGTTTCCTATTATTTTTTATTTATTTTAGTTCCAGCTTAGGGCTGTGCAAATTGCTATAAATAACAAAATATTGGTCAGCAGGGAGCGAGAGCACAAGAGAGCGAGATGCCCTGTAAACTAAGTGCGCAGGAAAAGACTTTGTGGATACATTAGAAGTTGATAACTATGAAACTTAAATTGATATTATATATCTGTATAGATATGTAGTAGGTAAGTATGAAGCGAAAAGATATAAAAGTATTTATAATTAGAAGAATTTGTAGCCTGAAAACATTTTCTGCTCTGCTCAAAAACCCGAAATGAAGAATTAATTCTAAAAAATATATAACTAGAATCTAAGTAAATAAATAAAATATTTATAAATAAAACTTACTATATATAATTATATTTACACAACAAACATTTTTTAATTCTTATTTAAAGAGAATTAAAAATGCTTAAACTTTCATTTACTGATAGAATCTTATCTGTAGTTCATAGAACTCAAACCTATAGAAATCGAATTTAAGTCAGTTTTATATTATAAGACACTTCTTATCGAAATACAGGATATACTCCAATTCAACACAAACGATTGTCGCACTCGTCGATTGTTATTTTCGTGTCACAAGCGCCATTTGTGTGCCAGCTGCGGATGAAGCGCGGTTTCTAGACTGGAATTCGTCAGGCTGCGCACAGGCAGATCAACTGCAGCGTTTCACACGACTCCGACTTGGAAATGACGTGAATGCTCAATGCGGAAGGAAAAATAAACGGTAAAGGCAACAACTCGAACAACATTCCATCAGCTGCAGCTGCAGCAGCAGCAGCGTCGCCATAGAAATGCAAATTCAGCGGCTGTCGGAACAGGGCGCGTCCTGTTTGCATTTATGTGGAGAGCCAAGCGAATCTTCTTTCTTAGTAGAGTCGATAACTCGACAGGCCAGGCTCCAATTGAAGTATCTCGACCTACAACAGCAGTAGCAGCACCAGCAGCAGCATCGCCAGCTGCTGCTAAGCCAAGCGAAAACCAGCAAAAGGTAAAGAAAGCAACGAGGGTCAGATGAAAAAACAGGAAAAGGGAAAAAGGAAATGGAAAAATATGCAAATATTGAACGAGACAATCAAATATGCAACAGTAATTTTTTGTATCAACTGATGGAGAGCATTGAAGGGCAGCCATATACATGTATATATATATAAATATATATATATATATATATATATATATATTATATTACAGCCCCAGAGATTGGCAAAGGGTTCGCTGTACTCCCCAGACTCTAGGCAGGCAAATCAGCTGGCAGCTGCTTGTAGATTACTTTGAAAACTTTTGTCTGCGCTTTGAAAGGTTAATTGAATTGATCAAATATGAATAAATATATATACAGTTTTATATATGATTAGACTCTATGTATATATTATTATTTTATTTATTTTTAAAAAGTTTTGTTTAAGCTCCACAAATATTTCTATTGAAACATCTTTTTAAACAATACATTTCATATTGAAATTCATAGTTTCATGGAAAATTTAAAAAGTAAATCTCTTCTTTATACTATTTACTACATTAACCAATTTCCACTTTCCTACTTCATTTTACTATTTATATAAATTTGTTGCTAATGTGGCAGACTCTAGAGTTTCCACATGATGAACCTCACACAATTTATTGTAATATCTACGCCCAGTGGAAGACTTTAACAGGGTAAATCATATTCCTTGCGTGAACATGGAAACTACTCTGACAGCATTGCATACTCAGTACACTTTCAACTTAAATATTTTATTAGCCAAAGCTCAAGTAAAGTTGACATTTGTATACCAGGGTATTCAACAATTGGCAAATATATCTTAAGCTACTTTTATGTTTGAGTATGTTTATGAGTAATATTATTGTAACCATTGAAAGGCTGGAAAGTTGGCTTAGAGTACAGACAGACATATTGTCTTCTATGCTCATATTCATGTCTGACTGCTCCTCTGAGCCAAATGCCATTTAGTTCAAATGCTTCAAACTGTTACAGTTGCTAGCGCAAACGCTCTACGGAAAATTCTCTGTGCAAATTCATATGAAAAACTCTTTTTACATGGGTACACAATATGCCATAATTAAATCTGGTTCTGGGAAAAATCTTTGAAATATAAATAAGACCTAAAACATGTAACTTAGCAATCTTCACTTCCACATTATGAGATTCGCCGAGAAGGGCAGCATTTTTGATGCAGTTCTTGTGACAAGTTTTTATTGTGCACCAAAACATTCTTCTTCTTACAGGCGAACACATTATTATTTAAGCTATTACATGAATTGAAAGAACTATTTCTCTATCTCAGCTGGACACGGGAAAACAAATTGATTTATGGTAGGAGACAGTTATGTATCCTCGCGTCGTCAACATTGTTGGCGACATTTGTTCTAAAGTGCTCTGTCCCTAAATTTTGGCACATTTTTACTTGACGACTTTGTCGGTTAACTGTACTTTGTTAGGTTAACGAGTACGTGCAGCAGCAGAAACTGTTGAAAACTTACTGCGATAGAGGCGAAGCAGATCATAAAAAGGAATATGGGCAGTAAACCATGAAGCGAGGGGGCAGAGACATTAAGGAACAACTTGCAACTGTCTGCAGCAAGTCAATCAGAGTGTTTTTTCTGGGACATTTATTGATAAGTGTGTACAATTGGACAACAACTGAACACAGGAGGTACTCAGCTGGCTAACTGTACTTCAAAGTGGCAAGTGGAAAAACAGCTGCGGAAATATATATGAATTTCAATTATGGGACGATCAAACAAGAGCTATACCACTTTAGATAACTCAATAACATATAACTCTATAAGTTATAGATAATATAGAAATGTGAGACATTTAATATTATTTGCCATTTAATCTTATTCATAAATTTATTCTTAGCTAAGGAAGACTCTAAGCACGTATTGAATTCATTTATACAAAATGTTTATTTTGCTTTATCAAAACTTGAAGAAAACAATAACGAATTAAAGTAAACACATCATTAATATTTATTTTGCACTGTCCTCGGCGCCATTCACTTGATTATGAACACTTAATATGAGAGCACATCAAATAAACATAAACTTAAGTGCCACGCCCAGCTGGTTTAGAGCTCTGCGCACAGGTACTCAAAATGTATTTATGACACTGGCCCAATACTGAGCTGCTGTATACCACAGGCCACTGGCATAACATATTTATGGGCTCTGTGGCTGCTCATAATGGTCATCAGTGCTAATGACTTGGTCACTTACTTTGTGTTGTTTGAAAAATCACTGGAAGGTTAAGCATGGCGGCCACGCCCACAGCTATTTGTCTTGTACAGTGGAGGGCATAAAACTGTTGACATGTCATTTGTCATATTCACACGCCTCGCCAGAAGCATTTGCGACTCAACTCGACTGCGGCTTCATTTGCATTTTACGTGGGCTGTGCTCTGGCATGACATATTGAATTGTAGGAATTTGCACTTTAGAAACAAAAACATTAAGGACACATGAAATAAATATTATTGAAGTGGGCTTTAAACATGTGTGGACACATGGTCTTAAAGTGCAATTAAACTAAGATTATAGAGATAAGGTTTGAGTAAATAGAGAAGCTTTACTTGGCTGAGACCACAGTCAGTTCACAGTCTTTAGCTAAGAGTGATACTATTTCCGAGAGCTCGAACTCAGCAGTTGTTTGAGACCTCAATTGCTTTTGAACGTTGAAATATTTTACAAGATTTGCCATTTTATCAAGTCTCCTTTAGTGTTTAATATAAATTAAAAATACTGATTTAGTTGCTAATAATTAACGCAAGTTTAATCGTGACATCTGAATGCCGTTTTGCTTCATACATACTTGATAAGAATGACATTCTGCTTCACACATAATGCATGGCATGAATATAGCTTTAAATAAAACTAGAAGTGATGCAATATCTTAAATCATATTCACTTTCGTGCACTTTCTTTTGCTATATATGTAGAGAGCTTGGCTAAAACCTTCGCTGTCTATTCAGATGAAAATGTAACTACAATTAGATAAATCTATTTGATTAATTAATTTTTTATATCATTTCGGAGTGCATTTCGAAGTGCATTTCGAAGTGCATTTCGAATGCATTTGGGGCATAAAATCGCTTATTGATACGGATCAGGAATATATACGGAAATATTATGAAATATATATATACGGAAATATATAGAAACTCTTAATTTATTTTTCTTATATTTATTGGCTGTCATTTTAGAAAAATAAACAAAATTTTAAAATGTACCCCATGCGATGCTTTCGACAAGCTGGCCGAAGTTGTAAGCAATTGGTGCGGCTCTGCAGTCAGAAGGGCAGCGAAGAGTCCAAAAAATGCGCTAACCTAAGAGCGGGTAACATCTGCAGAGATTCCATAAAGAAGGATGACAAGGGCGACAAGGGCGACACGGGCGACAAGTGCGACAAGGGCGACAAGGATTCCAAAGATGCCAAGGATGCCAAGGAAAGTAAGGACAATGGTCAACATAAGGTTACGCTGCTGGAAGGCGATGGCGTGGGCAAAGAGCTGATCTCGTCTCTGAAGACGGTCTTCGAGGCGGCTCAAGTGCCAGTGGAATGGGATGTGGTTGACTGCTACATGGTGGATGGCAAGATTAACCCGAAGCTATTGGAGTCTCTGAAGCGCAACAAGGTTGGCATCAAGGGACCCATTGAAATCAGAGACTTGAAGCATCTGTGGAAAGCGTTCGGACTGTATGCCTACGTGACTCTATGCCGCAACCTAAAAGGTCAACAATCGCGCTATGGTGCGTTGGACTGTGTCGTCATACGCGATGTTATGGAGGGAGAGTATTCCGGTATCGAGCACAGCGTTGTGCCGGGAATATTCCAGTCTATCAAAGTAAGCACATCGGCTGGCTCCAATCGCATTGCACGCTTCGTATTTCGTTATGCGATGGAGCACAAGCGTAGGAAGATCACTGTGGCACACAAGGCCAACATAATGAAGCTTACGGATGGCAACTTTCTGAGCTCGATGCGCACCGAAGCGCAAAAGCATCTGGATAAGGTGAAGTTTGAGGAGCGCTATATGGATACGACTTGCCTGAATCTGGTCATGCACCCGGAACAGAACGATGTACTTGTCTCGTCCAGCATGTACGGCGATGTACTTATCGTAATGGCCTCCAGCATTAGTGGCGGTAAGGCGCTGTGCCCCAGCTTCTACGTTAGCAAAAAAGGGCTGCTCTACGATACGCTGCTGAAGCCCACGCGCGACATAGCTGGCATGGATCTGATCAATCCCACAGGCATGCTGCTCTCAGCATCGCAAATGCTAACTCATCTAAAACTGGACTCGTATGCGGCTACCATTCGCTGTGCGGTGGAACAGCTCTACAAGGAGACGGACATACGCACCACGGAGCTAGGCGGCAGCTCCAAGTGCTCGGACGTTACTCAGGCAGTCTGTCAGTTTATTTCGGATGCGAAAAAAAGATAGCTTTTTTACATTTATATTTATTTATATTTATTGCATAATGGCTACAAGATTACAAGGCATACCTAATTGAAAATTATGTAATTTATAAATAGTATTCATCAATACTAAAACACTCAAAATTAAATAGCTAAGCAAATGTTGTTGAATATCATCAAATGGGATCAGTTTCTAAAAAGGCTTGTGAACCTTTCATACGGACTCGCAACGGACTCGCAGCGCATGGGAAATGGAAGTAGAGAAAAAGGAAATCCATGCAGAGATAGAAAGAGGAAAGTGCAGAGTGGAAAACACGAAGACAGAGAGTTACTGACTATCTGCATCATTTCCTTCTTCACTCTCTCACTGTTTCTCTCTCTCTCTCTATATATATCTTCCTGTATCTCTATTTCTCCCTTACTCTTGTCTATTCCTCCATTTACCTCTCTGCCACTTCTCCATATAAAAATAAAAATAATATAGCTTAATGTAATATAAATATAACTTACTTTCCTTAATATCTCCATATTATAATATTAATATATTAGTACTAGTTTCGAATGAGCACAGTTTTGGGAGCATCAGCTCTGCATAATATTTACGTAGTTTTAGTATTTTTCAAAGAGTTGGCGAAAAGTTTTGGCTGCCACGTGTGGGACATAACGATAACTGGCTTCTAGTTAGATGTGAAAACAAGCCAAATTAGATTCGCTCCACAGGTAGTTTCTGCTGCTAGTCTAGCTGAACAAAGGCGCAAAGTTTTCTTTTGGCCAAACAGGAAAGTTGAAAATTTAACTTTTTGCTAACGGAACACTTTTCAGCTTTGTCTGTGTGTCATCAAAAGTTGTTTTCAGTTTGTTGCTAAATTGCATAAACGAAAATTGTTTTAAGCTGTTTCAGGTTTATTTTGCTTCTGTTTTCAAAATTAGTATTTGAAATTATTCAGATATTTATATGAAATGAATAGAGTTATAGCTGTCGCTGTAAACAGGGCTTAAAGCGCTCGTCACTCGCCGCGTTGTTCCATGTTCATAATTTGCTATTAATAATATGATTAGGGGTAGGGGCATGACGAGCGTGCCATGGAAAAGGGTCTGTCTGAGGGTTCGTGTCGCTGGGTCACGTACTGGCCAAGTGCTGACAAACTAAGCCAAGTTGCTCGATTTGCGTCCAAGATGCAAAGATGCCAAGAAGCCGAGGCTGCGGACAGGCGGCAAGAGACAAGAGACACGAGACAAGAGACAAGGCAGGGCTTGGCATGGCCAGGCAGTCTGCAATAGTTCGTATAAAAACTTGTTAAAATTTAATAATTTATGGCCCTGGCCGGGTCCACAGAGGCGAGCAAGTAATAAACGTCAGTTTTTGTGGGCTTCTCGGCAGCAGCATAAAATTGGCCAAGTTTGTCAGCCGGCAACTGGACTGGACTAGACTGGACTGACAGCAGTTGCAGATATGGACGTGAACGTAAAATACCACCACTATGAGCCGTCAGAATTCTTCGAGCTTCCTGCCATCCTGACGGTATCCTAGCATCCAGGCATCCAATTTGGCCGACTGCACAAAATTACATTGTTTTTTTTTTCGTTTTGTTCCCTTTCGCTTGCTGCAACTTGTGTCTTGTGTCTTGTTGATGCAGCTAACTAATATGTAGTTGTAATTAAATTTCGTTTATTACTTGCTTTCTTCTAACCGGCCACGCCCAGTACTTCCTTACCTGTCCATTACCTTCGGCATTTCATGCAAATAGACCCCACTGAGCTCACTTCGACGTGCGCTCCATTTTGAATCCGTCGTTAATTGTAACGGCAAAAGTTGTGCACAGGTCGACAAGCTCATTAAATGCCACCTGAGTGTGCCCTCATGTGGCTGAAACAGTAACAACTGCAGTTAAGCCTTACTATTGTGCTAGAAAAGTGCAAAACATTGTTAATAATTGCAGTTAGAGAAACCTTAAGCCCTGCTCTGGCTCAAGTTCTTAGGAGCATGAATAAATTTTATATATTTTATGCGCTTTATCTTAGATATGAATGTTATTTAAATGAATAAATGCATATGTGACGATGCCTGGCTTGCGAATATCCTGTAATTTTATGTTGCAAGCTATAATAATTAATTATATGTCATTATTTTAAGTGATTAATAAGCTTGAAGGCCTTGAAGGGCATGTGCTTATTTTATATATTTTTCAACTTGGTTTTTTTTTTGTAGTATATCCAATTTGATTAAAGATAAGTTCCCTCAAGCTAGTCTATGAGTCTAGCCGACTTTTAGTACAGCCTGAATGGCCAACAAAATTTTATGAGTCAAAAAGTAAACTTTCAAGTAAACTTTTCTTCAAGTATTTGACTTATTGCAACAGAGTTTAAAATACGTAGAGCACATTTTCTTTAGGTTCTTTTAGTATTCTAAGCCATAAGTGTAAGGTGTAAAGAATCATCAAAGCTAATAGAAGCTATCCACTTCTGAGTTCAAGCGAATGCCGATGTGCATCGACTTCCGAGAAGAATATTTCAAACGACAGCAAATTCCATTTCATTATAATTTTACCATATTTAAATTAAACAAACACATAAAGGGCAGCCCTCGCAACATGCTCAAATTCCAAAACTACATAATATCCTTATGAATTTTAAATGCGTAAAGAGCTTAAAGCAAAGCAGAATTGACTAGAATATACAAATATGCACCGACATCAATTTGCTAGTTGATTATTTTAATTTTTACATCAGCTTAAAATAGTGAACGCAACACTGAATCTGTGGCAGCTCTAAAGCATGTTAAATTTAACTGGCAACTAGCAGTAACCAGCTAGCAGCTAGCAGCTACCAGCGACCCGTTTGCAGCTACCAGCATCATCATACGCATATTTTAATTTCTCTAAGCCTAATCTTTATGGAGTTTGCATAATTTATGAATGGGGCAGTTGGGCATTGCTGGAGCTGCTGCTGGTTACACCTTTTGCTGCTAGCGACTCGTGTATAGGGTATAATGAATTAAAAAAAAAAAAAGAACGCTGGATAAGGATTTAATGGCAACTGCTTAAGCCTCACGTAGCTGTTCGTCTGTCGCTCACTACAGGTGGCACAGAGGAGCAGCAACAACAATAAGAATAATAATAATAAATAATTAAAATACAACACGGCCAACGCATTGTCGTGCTCAGCAGTGGATTGCTCCTGCGGCAGCTACAGTGGGTCCCATTGCAAATGAACTCACGGGTTAATTATGGGCCATTGAGGGCACTTGTGCCGCTTACCAAATTAAAATGCGAGTAACTCACACACACACAACCACACACAGCTTATCCTGCTGTGTCGCTAACATAATTACAATATTGAGATACTTAACGAGCAACGGCTCGGCGATGCGGGCATCAATTATTGAAGTTTCCATTGTCAACATTGTGTCTACGCTCGAATTTAACTTGACATTCGCTTAAGTTGCTAAATAAACATGTGAAAGGCCTGTAAAACTCGCTCAAACCTGTGTCTGACATGTGTAAAGTGGCACTCGATTAGCCCAAAGTGACTGGCAATTTAGTCAACTCGAGTGGAGTACAAACGAGATGCAAATAAAGAAGCCAAGGGCTGCCCAAAGCTAGTACTTGGCATGAAATGTTTATTTATCTAACTTAAGGGCTTGCTAATTAAATAATAATAATTTAATTGACAATTAAATACTCCATTTTGCGAAATACATATCTTAAGACAATAAAGTCTTATATAATTATTTGAAATAGTATTTTTTATTTAAAAAAAAAAATTATAGACAAAAGAAATTCAAAGAGATAAAAATGATCGATTTCCAACAATTGTGCCATGGCATAAGCAATTAATTTACTTAAATAACTATCAAATAATGTAAATTATAATTAAATCGCAATTTAAATATTCCATCATAGAGCAGCTACTGCGCATATAATTTATGCAAAAATCAAGCTGAATAAATAGTAAGCAAAATGTAGATAAGGCGATATGCGAGTGGTCGTAATTGTCAGTTAACAAGAGTTGACCGCCAAGGCAGCCACTTATTAGTTATGAAAATTGTTTTCGACCGCCAGTTGGCAAGCAGTTCGCAATCTACTCCAACTGGGCTATAAAAGGGAAATTTCTTTAGTTTTTTACTATGCAAATTGCTAATTGTAGTCATCAACGGTGCGCCGTGTTCCTTCCTAATGAGAAATGCAAAACACTCGCAATTTATAAAATGTTCAATGGCAAAAAGAATGAATAAAGTGAACAGCAGAGTAAAAATTACGCGCTGACTCAAGGCTCGCACTCGTTACAGCTACTTTCTACAGATATACACAGATATATATATAGCGGGTATATATACATACTGTATAGAAACTTAAGTGCCCAGAAATGCGTGCGCACTGAGGCGTACAAATTGTTTGGGGACCAGCGTAAAGATGGAGAGCGAAAAGAACGCCAAGTGCTGCCATCTCCAAATGGAAAGTCCTGGACGAGGCGTGCCACGGGGGCGGGCGATGCTATGGATTTAAACAAAAGTTCCCAGACGTATTTTTTATTTTCATTTGCACTACATGCCGCATTATGCAAAGAGCGCACAATACATACATATATATAGTGGGTATAAAGGTCCCAAAAATGCGCACTGCATGGGGGCGTGGCAGCGGGGCGCACTGAATGTAACGGATGCTATTGCAAGTGCTAAAAAGTTGGTGTGAAGTATTTGCATGAGAATGCAGAATATGCACAAAAAGGTGCCAAAGTAAACTAAAAGTAATATAATAATATGAAGATAAAGAACAACAAATTTTCTACTCTTTGCTACCTGACACAGCCAAATTTCCATAAGCACCTCCTAAGTAGTTGATATTAAACAGTCAGTATATTGAATACCCAAAAAAGCTATTCAATTTAAAGAGCTCATACTTTAGATGTTATAGAAAAGTTTTTGTTTAGCAAGTAAAATTATTAAATATTAAAATTATAAAATATGTATAAATATTTAAACATAAAATAAAAAACATAAAATAAAATGGAATAAAAAATAATTTAGTAAATAAAAAATATATATTTTTATATTTTCATTTATACATATATATATTCTATATTTTTTCGTATTTTTCATATTTTAATTTATAAGTATATACAAATAATTTTCTTAAAAGACTTATA